CTTCATCTGTCTCTCATCAGCACTGGTTTTAGCCCCTCTGTCAATCGGGCACCCGCAAGCGCAGACTCACTAGTTCAGGGACATCACCTAAGGTCACTTCTATCTTGCACCAAGGAGTGCCGCCCAGCTGTGACTACAGCAATCTATCGCCTGACAACTCTGAGGGGACTGACCCAGCACGGCCGATGCACCAGCCAGTGTGCTAACCTGCAAGCTAACACATGTGCTAATCCATGCACTAGCCAGTGTGCTAACCTGCAAGCTAACACATGTGCTAATCCTTGCACTAGCCAGTGTGCTAACCTGCGCACTAACTCATATGCTACCTCATGCAGTAACCAGTGTGCTGACCTGGACATTAGCACATGTGCTAACCCTTGCACTAGCCAGTGTGCTAACCTGCGCACTAACTCATATGCTACCTCATGCAGTAACCAGTGTGCTGACCTGGACACTAGCACATGTGCTAACCCTTGCACTAGCCAGCATGCTAACAGCATTTTAACATAGCAATGGCAGTGAATATGGTGAAGCCAGTGCTGTGTTTGTTCGTAGGTACAGCCGACTTGGGGCTGCAGGGGCCTCCCCCACCTGACCCCCCGAGCGTGCAGTGGGAGGGGGGGGGGATGTAGGAGAAGGAGCAGCAGGGCCGCTTTTAAGGAGCAGGCAGGAATGCCGCGTAATTACCCACTGCGTGTGTGTGAGAGGGTGGGGGCAGTCCTCAGGCAACTGGTGACTGAACCAGGAGTCCTGGATCTTATCCGCCACAGATCCCATATCCCACCCCCGCTGCTTTACTGGCCTCTAATTCGGCTGGTTCCCACACCGAGGCCCCCCTTCCCAGCACCATGGGTGCCTGTGCTGACATTTAGATTGGTGGGGTGGGGGGTTGGACCTGGAGTCTGTTGGCTGCCACATTGATGTGTATGTGCAGGGTGGGGGTGGAGGGGGACTTGCACGGACACACATTTCTCACTCACAAGAAACCAGCCAGACCCAAAGCTGTGTCTGCGGTGATGTCCTGTAGATGTTCCTATGATTTGGTGACATTTTCATTATGCATCTTTTGCTCAGCTTTGCTATAAAATACAACGAAACGTTCTAGCACTAACATTGGGCAACTCTCACCGCATATGGCGTGTTGCTTGTTTAACATCCTGGGTGTTCTTCACATAGAAGACACGTTGCTGAATTTATGTTCATTAAAATGCCTTGGAATCAGTACATATTTATCTTCATCTTGCTGTGTGAAGAGAACATTTATAGAAGTGCGTTTGATTTTGGGTAGTTTGCTGCCATCTAGGGGCAGGGAGGACCAATACCTGGAATGTGTGTTTCTGTGTGCAGACCGATGTCTGTGTTTTGTTTAGTTTTGTGTTTTTGCATTTGCCTGAGTATCTGGAGCTGGTTTAAGTGTTCCCAGCCAAGATGAAATTGCGTGCAGCTTGGCAGTGTGGTATCAATGTATCTTCTAAGGAAACGGAAAAACCGTAAAGAAAATGTAGTTGAACTAAAATAAAAAATGAAATTACTGGTTTCTTAAAGTAATAAGATACAGAGAGGAACTGCCAGTCAGGCAGAGGGACAGGGCCACATTGCAATACTCTGGGGCCTGAATGGGAGGTCCTCACACCTCACGGTTTTCTGTGCTTCCCAACAGATCAAAATGAGTGTGGCCTGAACTATGCCCGATTAAAAAAAAAAAAAAAAAAGGATACGTAAGAATAAGTGTGTGTGTGTGTGTGGGGGGGGCAGCCTTCCAGCAGCTCAATAAAGTATATTCTGTTAGCAAACAGCATCAAAAAAGGGGAAGTAGAATAAATATTATTTTGTCCCGACTTCGGGGAAAGTTTAATATAACAGAAATGAAAAATTCCATGAGTTTCACTGAGCTGACACATCTCTCTCTCTCTTTTTATTTTTTAACAAACTCATGTTGTTTGTGTTGCACACACGTAGATCTCACTGAGGAGCTGCCTGTGGGCCTTTCAGGCAGATCCAGTTAAACTGTGGCCCCCCAGCCCTGGGCCAGGAGGCGGGCTCTGCCGGGAAGCCGGCCTAGGACTGAGAGCCTGATCAAAGGGCTCGGTCCCGTCACCAGCAGTACGGCGCAGGCGGCCACCACGGGGACCTTAATGAGGATGCTGGTTCTTTTAACGGCAAGGGAGGGGGCTATGTGGTGGGGGGGGGGGGTGACTGAGAAAGAGCTGCTGTCGCAGGACGGCAATCGGCATTCCCAGGATGATTCTAATGCTGTTACATGCTTGTTGAACAAGGCAGGACAAATATAGAGGCTGCCAAGTTCCAAAAAATACACGTTATCCCCCCCCCCATTTCTCACTCCAACAGCTCACAGTCTCCAGACCACACTGCCTCATCGCAAGGGGGCATCTCCCTTCCTCCCGGCCCCCGATCTAACTGTCCCACTATGTGATATTGTAATCCCCCGTCCCCCCGTCCGTGGTTTCAGACCACCAGCTGAGTACGCTCACTCAGCTAGATCTCCACGCTCTGTGGGACTTCCACCTGACCTTTGACCCGCAGTCCTGAGTCAACCAGTGGGGATGCAGGCGAGAGGAAGGGCTGGCTATAGAGCTCCTCCTCGCAGGTCAAAGGTGAAGGTCGGGGCACCCTGAAGAACTTTTTGCAAAAACACAGTGAGGCTGCCTTCATAATACTAGTTGGAAGCCGGCGTGTTCTTACCTGGAAGGTTGTGGGTTAGCTGGCGTTCAGAGAGCCTGCAGGCCCCAGTCAAGGATGTGAAACAGCACGGGGCGTAATTACTCTCTGTGTTTGGAAAGCCTTAGTGGAAAATGCTATGCCAGCCGCACGGACGATTACACTGGTCAGCCCAAGTGATCCCAGCAGTAACTGGAAGCGAAACACAGAAAGGAAAACAAGAGTTACGGTTTAAACTACCCTCAATCTCTCTCTGCACTCTGAGGGTTAAATTAACCAGTAAATTGAACTGGGTGGCATTTGGATTTTGTGTGTGTGTGCCTTATAAACACTGTTCCAGATGCAGATGTTCCTCTTTGTAACGTCAGAAGAATGTTGATGGTGGAGAACACAGACACTCTTCTGCGTTAACAAACGTGGCTGTTCCATTCTAGGTAGGGGCCATAAAAATGTTTCTGTGCGTTTAAAGTCGGCCGGCACAGAGGAGGGCAGGAGCAGCTGGTACTGGGGAGAGGGAGAGAAAGAGGGAGAGGTGGAGAGAGGGGAGGAGAGAGGGGGGGGGAGAATTAGAGGGAAAGAAGAGGGGAGAGGAGAGAGAAAGAGGTAGAGAAGGGGGAGGGGGAGAGAGAGGGAGAGAAGGGGAAGAGGGAGAGAAATTGAGAGAAGGAAGAAGGGGGTGAAAGGGAAGGAGAGAGAGAGAAAGAGGGAGAGAGGGAAGGAGAGGAGAGCATTACTCAGCTGAGCAGTGCTGCTTGCATGGGTACCTGGTATGTGCAGACCTTCTATCCCGGCTTTGGGTCCATTGAATGCCACAGCCATCAGCATCCTGCGTTTTAGGCCCGTTTACCTGCAAATTGGCCAACCATCCTGGTGCTCACCACATCAAACATACCCACAACAGGTGATTCAGATCTCCCTCCCCCAGCCAGCCTGCAGGCTCTGTGTGTGTGTCCCTGCACTCCTACACAGGTGTGTGCTCTCCCACCGCCCCAGCTCTCGGTCTGTACCGGTGGGCCATCAGGTGCCCCCTAATCCCCCTGTCCCATCCTCTCAGCGCTCTCCCACCTGTCAGTCCCCCTTGTTCAGGAACCCGAGGCAGGGAGCAGGGCCTGGGGCGGCCCGGGTCACCTTACATGCCGCTCAATGGTTGGAACCCGATCCACAGGGGCTGGCGGGTCCTCAGATCCTGAATAAAACAGCCTGTGTGATCCGCGTGTCTAACTACAGGGCCGCTCGCTGCCGCTGCTGCCAGGTGTGGGCTGGGATGGCCCAGGCCGGCAGCCGGAGAACTCATGTCTCACTCAAGCCCCATAATCCAGCTGGTCCGTGCCTCGGACCTGCTGTAATGAAACCGGCATGACAGAGTCCGACGCTCATTTCTGAATGTGAGTCTTCTGAGCACCATTGTCAAGTTATAAAAGGGTGCAGTGCGTGTGGTATTGAACCAATTTCTGGGTGATCCTGGTTTGTTTTAAATCAGCTCATGGATGTGCTTGTGGTTAGCAGGCTGATGCCTTGTGGCGCCCCCCCCCCCCCCCCCCCCCCTCCCGAGTCAGGATCTGCGGGACCGTCGGCTTGCTGGGCCCCTGACATACCTGCCCGCCTCTCAAAGTGAAACGGCCCCTGCAATTAACTTCTGATCAAAGGTTCTCGGGCCCCTCCCATCCCGTTAACCCCCCCACCACCACCACCAAAGTGACAGCCTCTTGAAAGGACTGTAAAAGTCACACAGGTTCGGGGGGCGGGGGAGCCAGGGAGGCACGCCCCAAGGAAGTCGTTCCTTCAGCCAACATGGCCATCTTGTGAATGTGAGTGACATCACTAAGTTAAACTCCCTGCTAAACAAAAATGAGCAGGAACTCTGACTGGTGAAGGATGTCAATTCCTCCATTAGCGGTGCTGGGCCTTGGCTGGTTGACAAACGCGAGATCACAGACAAATTGAAGCGTTTGTGAATGTGCCAGATCTTTCTGGAACATGCTGTATGGTGAGGTTTTATTACAGGATGAAAGTGGCATAGCCCTAAATGTCACATGGTAATTTAGCAATGACCAATGAGGAGCTGCGCTCACATTCGGGCTCCGGCAGCCCTCTGCAGATACGCTGAGAGCATTTCTGAGCAGGCAGCATTTGAGCATGCTGTCTTCAGGACCCTTGGGGGTTAACACGCTTACTATGCCACGGAGACCAAGCTGCCCTCATAGAATCTGGCCTGAAAGGTAGCTGCTCTGCTCATGTAAAATACCAGGTTCTGATCACGGTAAAGGCTATGAGTTTGCACATAGCTAACGGGTTGCTCTCCTCTGTCCCCTGTCCTGCAGGTATCCTAGAGATCAAGTCTGTCGAAGTGGGAGTGGTGGCTATCAAGGGGCTGAGTAGCAACTACTACCTGGCCATCAACAAGAAGGGCGAGCTGTACGGCTCGGTGAGTGCGTCGCATGCCATCCCGTCGGCCACATACTGTGCACACTCACCCCCATCCCTACGGGATCCCTACGAGATCAGGTGAAAGTGAATCCCCAGAAAATATAGGACGACCAACGACACCGGTCTGAAAACAGGACCGTTCTGTTTATGCAATAAAGAGGTTGACGCAGTTATGTGGTTGACACAATAATGCAGTTTATGCGGCAACGTGGTTGACGCAATAATGCAGTTGACTCAGTAATGTGGTCAACACAGTAATTCTATTGATGCAGTGAAACTGATTTATGCAGTAATGTGATCAATGCAGTAATGCAGTTTACACAGTAAAGGGGTCGACACAGTGATGCTGTTTCACAGTAATGCAGTCAACACAGTAATGCGGTTTACATGGTAATGCACATTACGCAGTAATGCAGTCGACGCAGTAATGCGGTTCATGCAGTATGCCAGATACAGCCTCTGTGTTCCTCAGGTCAACCTGCCCCCCCCCCCCGATTCGCGGCTGATACCGTACTGGGAAACACTGTGTCCTGTTCTTCCTAAAAAAAAAAAGTGCCTTGTGATGGTTTTAAAGGACAGTTCCACTTCACTGCACTTGAATGAACCCTCACCAAAGTGGGCTTTGGTGGGGGGCAGGGCCTTCCCATGAATAGCACCATGCTGGTACTTACCTCCATTCAGAAGCAGGCAACATTATCCAGGGCTTCACCTGCCTTCAAAGCGCGAGCGCGACCCGCCTGACACTGCTCCCTGCCAGGGAAACTCGAGCCGTCTGCCCGCCCATTCTTCTCCATCTCTCCCTCGTCCCCCCCTTTTGTATTGTGTGTGTCGCGAATGTTACATCTCAGTTCCACAGCCCCAAGACACGCAAACATTCCACAGCAGGGGGGAGGGTCAGCGGGGCGCTTTACTCTTACGGGTGACAACACGGTCTCGTCCATGTCTGTCTTTCCCCTCCGTCTGCACCTCCTCACCTCACGTCCTCGCAGCAGGGTTTGGAAAGGCTCAGTGAGGGCCGTGTCTGTCACGGTGTGCCTGTACCCAGCATCCTCTGGGGCTTCGCTGTCCTCCACTCAGGATAAAGGTCAAAGGTTACTCGTGTTCAACCACTAAGGCCTTCACTGATGCTGAGACACCATGAGAGTTGGCTACTTCAGGCAGGCTTTAGAGCTGTAACTCTAACCATAACCACATAGCTCTAACCCTAACTGTGACCTCCATGTTTCAGAGGGACTTCAGCCCGGACTGCAAGCTGAAGGAGCGGATAGAGGAGAACGGCTACAACACCTACGCCTCGGCAGAGTGGCGCAACAAGAAGAAGGCCATGTTCGTGGGCCTGATGGCCAATGGCAAGCCCATGCGGGGCAAGAAGACACGGCGGAAAAACACAGCCACACACTTCCTGCCCATTGTGGTGTAGCTTGCGGCCAGCGTGCCCAAGCGGGACTCCAGCACCACCGGCGGGGGCTGCACAGGACACGCCCGCATCACCTGACCCAGCGCCGAGAGGAGAGGGATGGTCTTTGCATGCCACGCAATTTGGAAACAACAAATGGACAAAATTCAGAAGCGGAGGATGCGAGAGGGATCCCCCATTAGCGTGCACGGGTGGCCCACACGGCGATGCATACTGGAAGCTGCTGGCAGGGACGGGGGGCGGCCCCCCCCCCCCCGACGCACTGGTTGGGTCACTCCCATGGGTCTCTCCACCTTAATTTCCTGACTGCGTTTCAATAAATTATTTATTTTATGTGATATTTAAAGAAAGAAACTGAATCGCGGTTCAAAGCAATGCCGTTCCCATGCCCCTCCTTTGCCATACGTCTGCCGTGTTCGGCAGGCGATCCCACAGGATGAGTGGCCCGGAGCTCGGCGCTGGCGGTCCTTAGGGACGAGTCCCATTAGGCCGCCATGACGCCCAGCACACGCGTCTCTCTGAAGGCGCCGCCTTTGCCTGTAAGGGCCCCACATAACATCAGCGGCAACCAGAGCTCCGAAAATAAGCATCCTGTACGAGCCCCACCTCAGAGCCCAGTGCATCCTGCATGGCTGGTTGTTACCCAGACCAAAGATCTCCAAGGGCTGTGCGGAAGAGAGGAAGGGGGATGCATCCATTGAGTCACTAGTAGTGTCAGCCCAGGCTTAAGGAGCAAAGCAGCAGCAGGTTGCCGTGGCCGCGGGCCGAGGTCCACTGTCCCCTCACCGTGTAGATATCGCCTCATAATGATCATATAATTCTGCATTATTGTACTGATCCTGCCATCTAACTTCATAATTTGTTGTTTAAATGTCTGACTTATTTGAGTTGTTTGGGAGCTGTACTTCTGTTCTTTTTTTTAAAGAAAGTGTTGTTTTTTAAAGAGTGAAATATATTTAAAGTATAACTCTATGGAATGCATTTTTATGGCTCCATTGTAAGTTATTGTTATTTACTGTTGGATCAGCACTTCGCTCTTGGTGGAGAAGACTGCCCCCCCCCCCCCCCAGCCCTGCCTCTCACGCACGCACAAACAGAGCCCTGCCCCCCACGCAGCCCTGCCTACTTCATATTCCTGCCTTCCCATCAGGCCTTGGGGTAACAGCTATGCAGACGCCCCCACACTCCATCCCCGTCAACCCTTTGGGCGACATAGGCGGCCGCCTAGGGTGCCATATTCTGGGGGGTGCTGACCTGGACCCCAGCCGAGGAGATCATCCAAGACAAAGTGAAACTGGGGCAGTGAAGTTTGCCTAGGCTGCCCCACAGGCTTCTACCAGCACGACCCACAATTTCCTGGGCCTGATCAAAGTATATCTGTGCTTTTAATCTGTGGTGTTCGGGTCGGGGGGGGGGTCCTCTGGTTAAGCTGTATAACACCTGTATGAAATATATCACCATGTGTAATTAAATTCAGTTTGCTTTCCTGCCTCGTTAATCTGCACTTCCTCGCACTGGGCCCAGTGTCCTGGCATTACTGGTGTTATCCACAGGAAAACATTTGCTCAGGAAAAAAAAAAAAAAACACAATTAGAACATGGTGCAAATCAAGAGCAACACTAAAAACAATCTTCTGTTCTCCAAAAAGGTACTGATAACTTGTTGGATGATTAGATGAACACCGCTTCAGTTCCCAAACCTCTCCTCAGGGGCACCTCAACCTTTCCATTTATTCGTTAGATTTGCCACCAGCTCACTTATTTAATTAATTAGTTAAATAGCTCAATGAGGTATTGATTAGCTGTACGAGGTGTGCCAGTGCTCACGTCAAACCCTGTCGCACTTTGACAGACATAATATCATGGTTTTACACCAACATGAAGATCATTTAAACATAATTTTCTTAGACTGCCTAAGGCGTTTGCACATTGCTGTATGTGAAACTGCATACATCATTTAAATAGAATGTCCTTTTGGTTGTTAATAAATGTTCTCCGTTATGGCAGTATCATGGCTCGTCAAAATGAACCAACATGGCCGCCCAGCATGTCCTGCAGGATTAACACTAATTAAAAGTGACCCCCACCGTGAATCACAGCCAAACACCTGATGGCTCCGAACACCTGAACATGCCCCCCTGCCCCCTGAGTAACAGATGGGCAGCCCCGGACCAAGATTCTCCTGACTGGACAGAGGTCTGCTTCTCACACCTCCCTGTCTGACCCAAAGTGTTCTGGGACTATCCGGGCAATAACCTGGGTGGGGGGGTGGGTGATGTCACACTTAATTAGAATTAGCTTATAAACAGCCATGAAATATTTATGTTAACAGCAGAGGCACTGGTCCATAATTTTAACAAGAAGGAGCAAGTTTGAAGGAGGGCTGAGGTCAGCTCATGTTTAGCTGATCAACACGTCCTTGTGGAGAGAGTTAAGGGGGAATCGAGTGCCCCAGATTTACAGCCACAGATTGAGGCAAAACCTCAGAAGCAGGAGGTCTCTGCTCTGTCGATGCAAGGAGAAGCACATTGAAGCAGGCAAAGGTCAGGATGAGGACTGAACACAAACACATGTCCTGTCCCAGGATACAGGAAACTGCAGAAAGAGCACATTCATGATGGGTAGTAATGTTAACAGCTGACAGCATGACACCGTAAACAAAGTGCAGAGGCAGCAGAAGAGTCCCAACAACAGAGCTGAGCTCTGAGCACCCATACCACGGCCC